GACCAAGCACATTGCGCTGCGGTACTTCTTCGTGAAGGATGAGGTAGACAAGGGCAAGGTCAACTTGACCTACTGCCCGACCGGTGACATGGCAGCAGACTTCCTCACGAAGCGACTGCCACGCCAGCAGTATCAGCACTGCTCCGAACTCAGCGGCGTGGTCAAGCAGGTCAAGTCGAGCTGCAGCCAGGAGTGAAGGGGGGTGTTACGAATAGTAATACTTGAATATTACTGTGCACTCCTCACCGCAGCAAAGAGAAGCACGCAGTATCGCGAATGAACACGAAGCGTCAGACGGTTGGAAACGACTCGAAGCGTCAGACAGTTAGGACGCATCTGAACCGTCGGAGCAGACAGCATCAGGCAGCTGCAGGCAGGATGGCTTCGGCGGGAACAGTTTCGTAACTGTTCGCGCCGCACGGTTGGGAATGTATTTGAATAAGGGAATGTACCCCTTAGAGTACATGGCTAGCTAGGTCGTTTCATCTCCGCTGTACTCATATTTATATTTGCTGTATTTGCATGTTTTATTCATCGCAAGCATTTACATTCACTCTGCTATTGAGGTCAAGGGCCCACCAACATCACTTCTCTGCGTGCGAACCTTCCTGAGTAGATCCTAGGCCACGATCAACTTCTGATCGCAGCACGAAGGTTAAGTGTCGAGAGAGTTTGGCCAAAAGGAGGGGGTGCTTGCATTAGAAACAGTCAAGAGTTATACAAGCAAAGCAAGCATGCAAGGGGTGCACCACCAACATTGGGTTACACTACACTATGTTAATGCTAAGGGCAGTTATATAGAAATATGTTTCTTGACAATCTGTGCTTGTTTGTCCTAGTTCATTCACTTCGGCTAACTGCCAGGCCAGAAGGGCTAAAGCTCTCTGAGAGTGACTATTGCACCGCTGTAGGATTGCCGTTAACCCTTTCTGGAATCTTCCTTCCGCTCCGCTGCGCTCTAGCGACTTATTCTTAAAGCAGCAGTATACATTTGGTAGGGCCAGTGCCAAAAGTTTATAAAAGGTACATGGTGGTTACCGAATTACGTGCCACCCAACTTCTCTCTCGAGAAACGAGGGGTTCCCTCCCCACCCAGTGAGCCCAGTCGAGTGTCAAAACTTTATAGATGCCAAAAGTATACTAATTCAATTCCCCCCGCACCACCGCACTCTCGTAGCGTTCTCAGCCTGCACAACTAGGAAAAAACATACCAATAGCATTGAAGTGCGACGCGACCGTAGCAGATCCCTTAGGCTCGCCGGCGCCAAAGTCGACGAATACACATCCAGTCGTTTAGTCGTGGCGGGCGTCGCCGTCGCGTCAATCGTACGTTTAGTGTGGCAGCCGGCCTGGCCACTCGTAGGGTTGCGATCACGCGCGCGAACCGACGAGCCCGCATAATGTGGAATCTTGTCACGCCTTCCTCCGCTGCCCCTCACTTCGCCTCTCCTCGCCGCTTCGCCGCGCTTTCCGTAGTGGTCTCCTTGCCTCCCCACGCAGCCTAGGAGATCCCTCTTTTGCATGGTCCGCTCGCCGCAAATCGCCTCCCTCGAGTCCCAACACGCTGCCTCGCCGGACATCGCGTCGTAGCTTCGCCACAACGCCCGTCACGGCGTCGCAAGTGACGCTAATCCGCACACGGCAACATCACCTCGCCTCCTCACGTTGCCTCCGCACGCCACCTTGATCACGCGCACCGCGCCACAACATGCGGGCCCTTATTCGCCTCCCAATCTCCCCTTTCCCCATCCCGTACTCCCCTGTCCCCATCCCGTTCTCCCCTTTCCCCATCCCGTTCTCCCCTTTCCGCATCCCGTTCTCCCCTTTTCGCATCCCGTTCTCCCCTTTCCGCATCCCGTTCTCCCCTTTCCGCATCCCGTTCTCCCCTTTCCGCATCCCGTTCTCCCCTTTCCGCATCCCGTTCTCCCCTTTCCGCATCCCGTTCTCCCCTTTCCGCATCCCGTTCTCCCCTTTCCCCATCCCGTTCTCCTCTTTCCGCATCCCGTTCTCCCCTTTCCGCATCCCGTTCTCCCCTTTCCCCATCCCGTTCTCCCCTTTCCCCATCCCGTTCTCCCCTTTCCGCATCCCGTTCTCCCCTTTCCGCATCCCGTTCTCCCCTTTCCGCATCCCGTTCTCCCCTTTCCGCATCCCGTTCTCCCCTTTCCCCATCCCGTTCTCCCCTTTCTGCATCCCGTTCTCCCCTTTCCGCATCCCGTTCTCCCCTTTCCGCATCCCGTTCTCCCCTTTCCCCATCCCGTTCTCCCCTTTCCGCATCCCGTTCTCCCCGTCGTGCCTCCCTTTCTCCCATTCCTGCCTCCCCTTCTCCCATTCCCACCTCCCGATCTCCCTTCCCTCGTTTCCCTCGCTTCCCTCCCTTCCCTCGTTTCCCTCTGCCCATCCCTGCACACCCCTCTCCCCATCCCTGCATCCCCCTCTCCCCATCCCTGCATCCCCCTCTCCCCATCCCTGCATCCCCCTCTCCCCATCCCTGCATCCCCCTCTCCCCATCCCTGCATCCCCCTCTCCCCATCCCTGCATCCCCCTCTCCCCGTCTCTGCATCCCCTTCTCCCCGTCCCTGCATCCCCTTCTCCCCATCCCTGCATCCCCCTCTCCCCATCCCTGCATCCCCCTCTCCCCATCCCTGCATCCCCCTCTCCCCATCCCTGCATCCCCCTCTCCCCGTCTCTGCATCCCCTTCTCCCCGTCCCTGCATCCCCTTCTCCCCATCCCTGCATCCCCCTCTCCCCATCCCTGCATCCCCCTCTCCCCGTCCCTGCACACCCCTCTCCCCGTCCCTGCATCCACATCTCCGCCTCTCATTCTCCCATTCTCTCCCTTTCCTCCCTTCACTCCCTCCCCTCCCTTTTTTCCCATCCATGGTCTCTTCCTGCAGTCCCTTCCGTCCCCTCCCTCCCTTTCCTCCCTTCCCTCCCTTCCCTCTCTTACCTCCCCGCGATTTCCCTTCTCTCCCGTCCCGCCGTTGTCTCCCTTCCCTCCCTTCTCTCCCTTCTCTCCCTGCCCTCCCTTCTCTCCCTTCCCTCCCTTTTCTCCCTTCCCTCCCTTCTTCGGTTTCCCTCCCTTCTCTCCCTTCCCGCCATTTTCTCCCTTCCCTCCCTCCTCTCCTTTCTCTCCCTGCATCTCCCTTCCCTCCCTGCCTCCCAATCCCCCTTCTTGCCTCCCAATCCCCCTTCTTGCCTCCCAATCCCCCTTCTTGCCTCCCAATCCCCCTTCTTGCCTCCCAATCCCCCTTCTTGCCTCCCAATCTCCCTTCTTGCCTCCCAATCCCCCTTCTTGCCTCCCAATCTCCCCTACCCGTCTTTCAAACTCCACTTCCGTCTTCACCATGGAAGCTACCTCCCTCTTCAACTCTCCTACCTCACTTCCTCTTTTCTAGGTCGTCTATTCCCTCCTTCCATCCCCATCCTTCCCCTTCCACCCTCCCTCCGTCTAACACCTTCTCCTTCCATCTTCCTTCCTACCCGCATCTCCCCTTTTCCCCCGTCCGTCCCATGCTTCCCCCTTCCGCCCCATCCCTGCCCCGTCCCCTTCGTTCCTGATTCGTGTCGTGTCCTTCTGGCCACCGCCACTCCGCTGCTGCGAGTGTGGAAGAGTTAGGCGCTTGGGAACCGCTGGCATCATGCATCGTGATTTCACACCAGGAGAGTCGTCACATGATACTCCAACCATTCCCCAATCACCCACTTTACCCCCCGTTCTTCCCATTCCTTCCCTGCCCCCTTCTTTCGCCTCGACATCCCTCCTTACCTCCCTTCCCTCCCTTCCCTGCCTTCTCTCCCTTCCCTCCCTTCCCTGCCTTCTCTCCCTTCCCTCCCTTCCCTGCCTTCTCTCCCTTCCCTCCTTTCATCCTTCCCTTACCGTCCATCCCTCCCATCCCTCCCTTATCTTTCTTCCCTGCCTTCCGTCCCTTCCCTCCCTTCCCTCGAATCCCTCCCATCCCTCCCTTCGCTCCCTTATCTCTCTTCCCTACCATCCCTCCCTCCATCCCTTCCCCTTTTTTTCCATACCTTCCCTTTCATGCCTCCCATCACCTCTCCCTGCCGTCCCATCTCCCCGTCATGCCTCCCACCATCTCCATTCTCGTACAGCCCCATCTAATGTCATCACTTCACCTCTTCTCCCATCGTTGCCACCCCTCCGTCCCTTTTTCAAATCTTCTCCCACCGTGTCACTCGCTACGTCCGCCCACACACTCTTCCTGCCATTCTCACCCAGTCCACACCACCATCCCTCCCTTCCTGCTTCCTATAACCAACAACCGCCTCCCGCCCTCTCCTTCCTCCATCCCTCCAATTCCTTTCCCTTTCTTTAGCCTGCCCCTTACCTTCCTACCCTCCCCTTCCTTCCCTTCCCTTCCTTCCCTCCCCTCGTGCCCTCTAGTTCCTGTGCATGTGCTGCCATCACTTTTGCCCCAGAAATGCCTCTAACTCATTTGTAATCACATGTATTTCCTTTCTCCCCTCCCTGCCTTCCCGACACACCTCTTCCATCACACCTCCCTGTCTTCACGTCACACCACCCTGCCTCCCCATCACACCTCCCTGTCTTCCCTCCATGGGTTTGGGGAACCATTATTTACAGCTGCGACACCAGGTGTCAGGGTACCTGTATGCTTGGGAAAAGCAGCCAGTCTTGCATTCACATGCTGCTCCGTACAAATGTGCCTGCACGCTTTGCCCCAGCTACAAGCAGGACAACAAAGCCTGGCCCAAGCAACTTGGCGGCGTGAAGGGAGGTGCATCAGGTCCCAGAAGTGTGTGAAGGCGTCAAGATGACACCAAGAGTAGAGTATGGTCCTGTTGTGTATACACAGCGATGATTCTAACATGTGTACATACAGCTTTGAAAGCTCCTTTCATCCCGACATCATTTGCAAACCTAAAGATGGTTATAGAAAGAGGAAAGGAGATTGAAAGACGTAGGTATCCACGCGTTTGGATGGATGTAAACATTACTTGCAATACAAAGGTGTTGTAACATGCTATTGATAGTAAATGTACACTGAATGCAAGCCTAAGGTGAACAAAAATGGCTCCTCTTGTTCCATGCTGCATGCGAGAGCCCTGAAAGGGAGGGTGGTGATAACTGGGGGTGGAAAATGGAAACAACGGGTAGGAAGGCGGGGGAGGGAGGGTAAGCAAGGGGAGGAGGGAGCAATGGAGCATATCTCCCTTTCACTGGGCCACTCTTTGTCCACCACGTAGGGGCAAGCCGAGCCTCCCATCCCCTTCCAGCCATTCCCATCCCCTTCCAGCCCCTCCCATCCCCTTCCAGCCCGCAACAACCCCCCTCCAGCCCCTCGGATCCCCTTCCATCCCCTCCCATGCGCACACCGCCACTTCGTTTCCCTACTCACTTCAGGAAGTTCTCTACTCCCTCCTTCTGTTGCGGGCCAGAAATCAAAGATGTTCTTGAAGCGACAGCAGCAGTAGCATGGCAGCTTGGTCCCACGACTCCGGCAGCTCGCCGCACACGTTCCACAGCAGCCCAATCAGGTACACCACCTCCAGCACCAGGCGAGCTATGTTGCGCGCCAATGCACAGTGAGAACACTAGCAGAGTAGGGAGGGAAACGAGGATGTGACGAGAAAAGGCAAGTAAGATTGTGCGGGCTGATAGGTTCCCATGCTGGTGAGCACTCCACACGCTGCTGAGAGCAGCGATGCACTCACCACCCAACCATGAGAGGGAAGGAGAGAGAGGGAAAAGAGGATGTGACATGCGAATGTGCGTAAGAGTGTTCTGGACGGAGGTTCCTTTGCTGGCGTGCACTTCACACACTGCTGTTCGCAGCGATGCCCTCACCACGGCGCCTTGGAGGGGAAGGGGAGGGAGGGAAAAGAGGATGTGAGTGGCTGAGTAAGAGTGTTGTGAGGAACCAGGTTCCCTTGCTGGTGAGTACTCCACACGTTGCTGTTCGCAGCGATGCACTCACCTTGGCACCTTGGAAGGGAAGGGGAGGGAGGGAAAAGAGGATGTGAGTGGCTGAGTAAGAGTGTGGTCAGGAACCAGGTTCCCTTGCTGGTGAGTACTCCACACGTTGCTGTTCGCAGCGATGCACTCACCTTGGCACCTTGGAAGGGAAGGGGAGGGAGGGAAAAGAGGATGTGAGTGGCTGAGTAAGAGTGTGGTCAGGAACCAGGTTCCCTTGCTGGTGAGTACTCCACACGTTGCTGTTCGCAGCGATGCACTCACCTTGGCACCTTGAAAGGGAAGGGTAGGGTGGGAAAAGAGGATGTGACAAGCGAAGGTGAGTAAGAGTATGAGTGGTTCCTTTGCTGGTGAGCACTTCACATGCTGCTGTGTGCAGCGATGCACTCATAACCCAGGCTTGGAAACATGAGGGGAAACATGGGGCTATCGCGGGGGGAATATGGGGCTATCAGGGGGGAGAAATGGGTCTGGCATGGGGGAAACAGGGGGCCTGCAGGGGGAAAGAGGGGGCTGGCAGGGGGAAACAGGGGGCCTGCAGGGGGAGGAAGCATGGGCCAGCAGGGGGAAACATGGGGCCTGCTAGGGGGAAACTTGGGGCCTGCAGGGGGGAGACAGGGGGCCTGCAGGGGGAATCTTGGGGATAGCTTGGGGGAATCTTGGGGATAGCTTGGGGAATCATGGGGACAGTGGCTGCATGGAACCTGGGGCCAGCAGTATGGGGGAAACATGGGGATAGAATGGGGGGAAACATAAGGCATGGGGGGGAAAACGGGGGAATGCGGAAGGGGGAATGCGGAAGGGGGAATGTGGAAGGGGGGATGCGCAAGGGGGGATGGGGAAGGGGGAACGCGGAAGGGGGAATGCGGAAGGGGGAGGGCGGAAGGGGGAATGCGGAAGGGGGAGGGCGGAAGGGGGAATGCGGAAGGGGGAGGGCGGAAGGGGGAATGAGGAAGGGGAAACGCGGAAGCTGGAAGGCGGAAGGGGGAATGCGGAAGGGGGAAGGCAGAAGGCGGAATGCGGAAGGGGGTTGGCGGAAGGGGGAACGCGAAAGGGGGATAGCGGAAGGTTGAATGTGGAATGCTGCACGCTTATTCTTCCCACCCCCCCCCTTCCCTCCGCCTCCCCTTCCGTATAATCTCAGGTTTGCAGAGGGGTTTGATCTGGGTATGGAGGATGCGATGCTGCACAGCCACATCACATACGCTGTTGTCCTGCTGCACACTTATTCTTCCCACGCGGAAGGGGGAACGCGGAAGGGGGAACGAGGAAGGGGGATGCGGAAGGGGGAATGCGGAATGGGGAATGCGGGATGGGGAATGCGGGATGGGGAATGCGGGATGGGGAATGCGGGATGGGGAATGCGGGATGGGGAATGCGGAATGGGGAATGGGGAATGGGGAATGCGGAATGGGGAATGCGGGATGGGGAATGCGGGATGGGGAATGCGGAATGGGGAATGGGGAGTGGGGAATGCGGGATGGGGAATGCGGGATGGGGAATGCGGGATGGGGAATGCGGAATGGGGAAAACGGAATGGGGCTTGCGGAATGGGGAATGCGGAATGGGGAATGCGGAATGGGGAACGCGGAATGGGGCTTGCGGAATGGGGAATGCGGAATGGGGAATGCGGAATGGGGCTTGAGGAATGGGGAATGCGGAATGGGGAATGCGGAATGGGGAATGCGGAATGGGGAATGCGGAATGGGGAATGCACCCGGTATGCGACGGCGCGGCACGTGACGCAGCTCCCACCTATTCTTATATGCGCGAAGGCGGTGTGTCCCCTTGGAGACCACGATTCGTCACTGGTACCCGCGCGTGCTATGAATATTACGAGCGCTCTTGCTGCGCGCGTTTTGCTTGCGTGCGCTGCTATGCTGAGCGCGCAATGCTGGAGCGCGCTGTGCTGGAACCAGCAGAATGTTGGGGCGCGAGCGAGGCTAGAGGTGAGCGCCCAACAGAGCGAGGTTAGAAGTGCACAGGCTGCTGCTTGCGCGCGATTTTGCTAGTCGTTTCGCCGTTTAGGCTGTCTCTATTCGTGCTAAACTCACGCGCCACGTGTGTGGCAGGGCTTCAGATTCGTTTTGGGCCACCCTTAGTAATCAGGGTTCTAGGTATAGTCAACCCTGATGCGTAGGGTAAAATTTTTGTTTCCCTGACAAATGCAGGGTAAAAAAACAGTTAGTCTGTTTGGGCAGGGTATTCTTAAACAATTGTATATATTCAAAAGCCAAAGCACTCAAGATCAATGGCTAGTAGTTCAGCTGGTTTATTGCACATTAGATCTGGAAGGTCGCAAATTCGAATCTCGCTAATGAGATCATTTTGCAGGGACCTGTATAGTGTTTCGTCTCGCTACGGAGCACTCGGTACCAGTATAGCTGGGATTGTACACTGTACAGTCAGAGTAATGTGTTCCTTATGCTGTTTTTCGAAGGGTATTGAAAAACTTACACTTTCTGGCCTAGGGTAAAAAATGTTGGGCTGAGTGCCCCTTAGGATCTTTGGTAGGGTTAAACTCTGGGTAGAGTGATGTAGTAGCGGAAGCGTTTAAATGAAGTCCTTGAACCACCTTGCGCTGGTATGTGAGGGCAAAGTAAGTTGATTAAAACAAGCAAGTACAAAGGTTTATATAAGAGTACAAAGAATACGAAGAGATATAATTAAACTGTTTTACTGTTGCGGTTCGATACAGTGCGACTCGGGCAACTGCTCAATGTCGAGTCAGTTGTGTGTCCTTGCTGTCGCGCTGCATTTGTCAAGTCAAAGGTCGCTGACCTTTGACTTTCGCGTAACCTCCAGCGGTTACTTCAACCTCCGAGGGTTGACTCGCTGGTGCCTCGATATGCTCTGCTTCGCTTGTGCCTTGGTGTTTCGACACGACAGAGGCGCTTAAGATTGTTTGTTCCCAACAAAAAATCCACTACCCTGCCTGTGAAAGGGTAACTGAAAAAAAGCGGCCGCCAGTCAGTGCAAAAAGGGTATTTTACCCTGATAACGAGAGGCCTGGTGTGTGGTCTGGTCGCGCTGCTGGCGTAGCACCTTCTAGCGGGCGCCGTGGTTGTTTCTTTCTGGAGTAGGTATTAGCCGCTTATTTTCCTTAGTGTGTGAGTGTGAGTGCTGAGTTCGGTGGCGAGGGCATTTCATCCATTCTGTGACTCACAACCAACCCCACTCTGGTTCCCTCACAACACAAGTGCATCTGGTTTTCGCCAACACTCTCGCTCCAGCCATCTTTTTTCGTTTGGGCGAAATGGTGTTCCATCACTGTACAAAACAAACAGTAGCGCCAAATGTATACCGCTGCTTTAACAGATCGTGAGAAACGATTGCTACTGTACCTACGCTACTCCTGCTTCCAGTGGATTGGACCGCACAAGCTTGTGGACAGGTGAAATGCATGAAATTGGTTGCTTGCGTGCCTTGTAGTGATGGTGGATCAACAAGATGCAGCACAATGGCAGCATCATTTTGACTTGCGCACCGAACCACGAGAGGATTACCATAATCACCACATCCTTCACAGAAGAAGAAAAAGCAGCTGCCGTCGATGCAAGATGATGTAGAAAACAGGTCAGCAACAGTAGTGGAGAGAAGAGAGAGGGGAGAGGGCAGAGCAGAGGGGGCAGGACTACTTGGAACGGGAGAGCACAAGGTGCGTGAGCTCAATCAGTCCCAGGCGGCATCGGTGTGCATACTCAGTGCTGGCTGCTGGCATGGCCTGCACCGCCTGCACTGCCAGTGAACAGTGCTCCGCTGCCAGTGCCTTGGTGCGCGCCACTCCCCCACTCTGCTCCACCCACGCCACAGCCTGTTGGGGAACAAGGGAGACGGTGCGCAGTGAGCACAGAAATACCGATAAGACAAAAGATGCGTCCTTGCAGGGCATGGAGGCGGCTCAGGTGCTGCCATCAGCGTGCATGTGCAAGCGGCAGACGACATGCTCTCCACAGTTCACCAACACGCACTCATCTCCCCACCTTCCCCCTCCCCTCCCCACTCCACAATTTCTCTCCCCCAACCCCCCCCCCCCCCCCCCCCCCCCCCACCCCCCACTTTCCCTCCCCCACCCCCATTACTTCCCCTCGCCCCCCTTTCCCAAACTCATCCCCTGTCACGCATGCACGGCACCTGCTGAACATCCCCGGGGTGGGAGAACTTGCGGTCCATGAGGCGGTGCATGCCGGGGTGCTGCTCCGCTGCAAACAGCACCGGCGCCGTCACCAGCCCCTGATGCCCACGGGGGGAGGGGGGTGCCGGGAAGAGCAGCGGACAGGAGGCAGCAGGGGGGTGAGGTGAGAAGAGATGAGATGGGAAAATGCAGCAAGAGGTCCGACAGGGACTCGTGTAAAAAACGCTTACACTAATGCCTGTGCCAGGTGTGCAGAGTTGGTAGGGATGGCATGCACTGCTATGCCGTGCTGTGTCGTAATGAACGGTGCAGTGGCATGTGTGGGCCTGACCTGGGCAATGTCGTTGAGCGCGGGTTTGCCCAGCGAGGCGAGCGAGCCTGTGAAGTCCAGGGCATCGTCCACCAGCTGAAACGCCAGGCCCTGCACATGGGGCCGTGGCAGGAGAACACGGGCGGCCACATCGTGGTCCGTGGGGCGAGAAAGACTCGACTTGAGGGAGAGAAGAACGAGGAGGCATGGGGCATGCGAAGCAGTGACACGCACTGGCGGAGAAGCACATTAGCAATGGCCGCACGGCAAGGGCAGCAAGGTAAGTAAGCAGGGAGCAGGAGTAGGCAGGGCGAGGGGCGAGGAGCGGGGGGCGTGGGGCGACTGACGAGGTGGCGGCCGTAGTCGTAGGCGAGCTGTGCCGTGGGGGCGTCATGGCCGCCCAGCACTGCCACCGCCTTGCAACTGTTGGCGATGAGTGACGCCGTCTTGAGAAATGTCTTGCGCATGTAGTACTCCATGCTGCCCCGGGGGGGGAGGAGGGCGTGCGGTGCAGGGGAGGGATGGATATGTACAGACAGGATGCATGGGTACAGGCATTTTGTTCTACAAAACGAAGCGGGATGAGTTGATATGAGCAGGGACGATAGTGCACTTAAGGTTGAAAGCAAATGGCACCGGCACACATGCGTAACCCACTGCACTGGGCAGTGGCAGTCAGTACACACCTACTGCACTGTGTGGGTTCCGCGGTCATCTGCATGACCTCGCCCCCCACGAGGTGCTCCAGCACAGCGGACAGCAGCTCCACCACCTCCGTGTTGCGCAGCCCTGCCAGCGCTGCTGACGCCCGCGCCAGCAGAAAGTCCCCCGCCAGCACCGCCAGCTGTGAGGGGGTTAGGGGCGGGGGGAGGGAAATGGGCGTAGGAGAGGTGGGAAGAGGGGATTGGGTTGGGTGTGACAGGATTAGACGGAACAACGGGAAGTGGAACCGGGTGGGGGAAGGGAAGCAAGATCTGGGTGGGAGAAGTGGGGGTGGGAAGGGGGGGAACAAGAAGGGGGTGTGGGATGATGCACAGGTAGCGGCGTGAGGGTAGCATGCGGGTGGATAATTCTGTGAAGGATGGGCTACTAAGGCGCGGGTGCTGTGTAGAGGGCAGTGCGGAACCTTGTTGCCCATCATGTAGTTGAGCGATGACACCCCCCTCCTGGTGTCCGCATGGTCCAACACATCATCATGCAGCAGACTCGCCACCTGGTGCCATGTTGCCATGCCACACGTACCCATGCACCCATGCACTCATGCACTCATGCACACATGCACACATGCACACATGCACATGCAGACATGCGCACATGCACATACGCAGACGCACACATGCACATGCACATGTACACATTTACACATGCATGCATGCACATGCACACACCCACACACATGCACATGTGCACAGTACATTCACACACCAGAACACACAGCGCAGAGAGGCAGAAGGGGGTCACACATGATGCACCGTGCCACTGCACATGCTCACATCACCTTCATTTACCAACACGAGGCGGGGGGGAAGAGGGGGGAGTGAGAATGCAATGTACATTCATCCAAAAACGCAAGGAACGGGTGGGCGGCGAGACCAAAAGGCATACATGGATCATTTCCGTGATCTCCGCTATTCTCCGTTGCCTCTCCCTCCTCTCCTCCGCAGTAAACACCTTCCCCGCTGGCACCTCCCCAAGTGGCACCCCTGGCGCCCCTGAAAGCGCGACGGGAGGGGTGCAGTGGGTGTGCTCCAGGGACGACGCCATGAGCAGAATGACCTGCGCACACCCCATGCGGACAGCACCCCCCGTGCACAGCGGCCATGCCATGCATGGGCGGCAGTGTGGGAGACATGCACACAGGTGCCGGACGGATGGATGGATGGAGGGCAGACGGAGGGAAGGGCGCGGATGGAGCGAGGGAGGGAGGGAGGGAGGGAGGGAGGGAGGGAGGGAGGGAGGGAGGGAGGGAGGGAGGGAGGGAGGGAGGGAGGGAGGGAGGGAGGGAGGGAGGGAGGGAGGGAGGGAGGGAGGGAGGGAGGGAGGGAGGGAGGGAGGGAGGGAGGGAGGGAGGGAGGGAGGGAGGGAGGGAGGGAGGGAGGGAGGGAGGGAGGGATGGAGGGAGGGATGGATGGAGGGAGGGAGGGAGGGAGGGAGGGAGGGAGGGAGGGAGGGAGGGAGGGAGGGAGGGAGGGAGGGAGGGAGGGAGGGAGGGAGGGAGGGAGGGAGGGAGGGAGGGAGGGAGCGAGGGAGGGAGGGAGGGAGGGAGGGAGGGAGGGAGGGAGGGAGGGAGGGAGGGAGGGAGGGAGGGAGGGAGGGAGGGAGGGAGCGAGGGAGGGAGGGAGGGAGGGAGGGAGGGAGGGAGGGAGGGAGGAGGGAGGGAGGGAGGGAGGGAGGGAGGGAGGGAGGGAGGGAGGGATGGAGGGAGGGAGGGAGGGAGGGAGGGAGGGAGGGAGGGAGGGAGGGAGGGAGGGAGGGAGGGAGGGAGGGAGGGAGGGATGGAGGGAGGGAGGGAGGGAGGGAGGGAGGGAGGGAGGGAGGGAGCGAGGGAGGGAGGGAGGGAGGGAGGGAGGGAGGAGGGAGGGAGGGAGGGAGGGAGGGAGGGAGGGAGGGAGGGAGGGAGGGAGGGAGGGAGGGAGGGAGGGAGGGAGGGAGGGAGGGAGGGAGGGAGGGAGGGAGGGAGGGAGGGAGGGAGGGAGGGAGGGAGGGAGGGAGGGAGGGAGGGAGGGAGGGAGGGAGGGAGGGAGGGAGGGAGGGAGGAGGGAGGGACGGAGGGAGGGAGGGAGGGAGGGAGGGAGGGAGGGAGGGAGGGAGCGAGGGAGGGAGGGAGGGAGGGAGGGAGGGAGGGAGGGAGGGAGGGAGGGAGGGAGGGAGGGAGGGAGGGAGGGAGGGAGGGAGGGAGCGAGGGAGGGAGGGAGGGAGGGAGGGAGGGAGGGAGCGAGGGAGGGAGGGAGGGAGCGAGGGAGGGAGGGAGGGAGGGAGGGAGGGAGGGAGGGAGGGAGGGAGGGAGGGAGGGAGGGAGGGAGGGAGGGAGGGAGGGTGGGAGGGAGGGAGGGAGGGAGGGAGGGAGGGAGGGAGGGAGGGAGGGAGGGTGGGAGGGAGGGAGGGAGGGAGGGATGGAGGGAGAGAGGGGGGGAGGGAGGGGAAGTATAGCGGCATCAGAAATAACAAAGGTTTTGAACATGGTAGAAGTGGAAAAATATACGAAAAACGGGCGCCAGGTTGGGAAAGTAAGGAAAAAAAATGGAGAATAGGAGTTGTGGCGGGGGTGGGAGGGAGGGGGAGGAAGGTATGTGCAGAATGCATGGATCAATTACAGACAAGCATGACGCATGCACGCATGAGCATTGCCAAGGGCAAGCGGTTGCGGAAGAGAAGGCAGGAGCGGACGCACAGTGGGACGGAATCGCTTGCCGGTGGCGCTGACTCTGAAGAAGTAGTCTGCTGCTGTGGCCAGCTTGGGGATCTGCGGTGTGCGGCGACAGGGAGTGCACATGCCCCACGTGCACGTGATGTCATGTCAAGTGGCGCTCAGGCTACTAAACTAAACATTGGTAGCAGAGGGGGCAAGAGGGGGCAAGAGGTGGAGCAGAGGGAAACGAGGGTGTAGGAGAGGGGGCAAGAGGGGGCAAGAGGTGGAGCAGAGGGAAACGAGGGTGTAGCAGAGGGGGCAAGAGGTGGAGCAGAGGGGAAATAGGGTGGAGCTGAGGGGAAAAGGGGTGGAATAGAGGGGGCAAGGGGTGGAGCAGAGAGGGCAAGGGGTGGAGTGGAAGGAAGAAAGAGAGATGGGTTTACCTCTGAGAGGATCATGGCGCGCATCTTGTCCGCCAGGCCCGTGAGCTCGTCCGCTACGAGGGAGAAGGGGTCCACTGGCCCCACCTGCCACACATACACACACACACACACACACACACACACACACACACACACACACACATGCACTCACGCACACACACACATGCACTCACGCACACACGCGCACACATATACACACACGCACACACGCACTCACGCACACACGCACACACATATACACACATGCACGCACACACTCACGCACACTCGCGCACACGCACACACATATACACACATCCACGCACACACTCATGCACACTCGCGCACACGCACACACATATACACACATGCACGCACACACGCACGCACACACTCACGCATACACCCACACAAACACACACACACACACACACACACACACACATACACACACACACACGCGCATGCACGCACGCAAGCACACAAGAAGCATGGGAAAGGGGGGGAAGGAAGAGACACTGATGAGTTGGATCGGACAGGCTAAATCAATGAATCAATCATGTGTAGCACACTCCTCACCGCCCCCATCACTACCACTATCTGTGAAAAAGGGTATGCACGTATGAGTGTGACAAGGTAACCATGAGAGTACATCCAGTGTTCCCCATACGTGTGGTGAAGGCCCACTGCAACACGATCTTGTTCGGTGTCAACCCTCACGCCAAACTCATGCCATGTCATTCTAGCTAGAGAGATCCGACACCAACCATCAACTTCGCCCCAGCCCGTCTATTCCACTTGGCGACAAGCAGCCTGGCCCAAAGTTTGCATCCATGCACATATAGGCGTAGGGGCGTCACACTTTTATTTCAAGCAGCAGCAGCGGCAGCAGCAGTAGCAATAACAGAGAAGCAAAAGAGCAGCCGAGGGTGGCTCACATCCTCGAACTTGCCGACTGCCTGAGAGCCATCTGTCGCTGCAGCTGAGTGATACGCGCCCACCAGCTGCTGCAGGGCGCGAGGGAGAGAGGGAGGGGGAGGCGGAAGGGGAGAGGGAGGGGGGGACGCAGGGGGAGAGGGCGAGGAGGAGACAAGATGAGGGACAAGCCCAGAGGAAGTGTGAAGAGCACATGCTGTGTGATGTGTGAGGTGCGAGATGAGATGCAGACAGGGTGGGTGAATCTATCGCGTATGCGCACTCCAGCAACTCATATGCGGTCCAGGCTGGTGTGTGCTGCATGCAAGGAGTGATGGGCGGCGAGGGAGGGCCGCTGTGAGCGCACCTGCACGTGGCCGCGCCCGTGCGCCCTGCCTGATGCTGCTGCCGCGGCTGTAGGGCACACGGGGTGGAGCGGCATGAAGGATGCGCGTGGGGGAGGGAGACGGGTGGGGAGGGGGGGCCCAGTGGGACAGCAAGTGAGCGAAGGCAAGAGTGAGGGATGAGAAAGAAGGGAGGAGAAAGGGAGGGCGGGTTCAATTAGGGAATGAGGAGCAGAAGATTGGATAGGCGGTTGTGCTGTCGGTGCATTCCCATGGCCATACCACGTCCCTCTCACAATATTATACGTGAACAGCGCACCCCCCCAATAGCCAAAACGGTCACGACGCAGCGCGCACAGATGCATGCCACGTACCGTGAAATGACAAGCTGGCCGGCCACGTGTCTGCAGGTGATTGGACCGGAGTGCAGGCGGGCCGCGGAGCATGAAGCGCGGAGAGACAGAGGGTAGGGGAGAGAGCGGAATGGAGAGCTGAGGTGCGATGGTGGCGCTGCGGCGGGGGTATATAAAGAGGACGCGGCGATGACGTTGTTGGCGTGTGTTGGCTTCCATGAATATGATTGAGTGTCAGCGCGAGCGCCGCGGCTGCTGCATTGCTGCACGCCGTTAGCCCGTCGTTGCTGCTGCTGCCCGCTGATCGCCGTGCGACCCGCGGTACGTCGCTCCACGGCACCACGCGCGCATCGCCCACGGGCGCCGATGCGCACGCGATGGAGCCGGTCGGCGCGGGAGCCGACGCGATCTCCATGGCACCTGGGGTTCCGGGCAGGGAAGCGCAAGAGGGAGCGGGGCGGGCGATAAGACGGGGTGCTACGATCACATCGTACAACGAGAGACGCGGCACTAACCGCGAATCGCGAGCCACGAGCACGGCAACGTTTAAACAAGCAGTTGTCGGGGAGCTTCGCAACGGGAATGCGACGCGGCGAAAGGTCGTCGCCCGGAGGAAAGGCGGGCATGTAGGCTGCGCGACGCGGGGTTTGGGCTGTGGGAGGTACTAAGAGTCGAGATTCAGCAGCGCGACCTTACTGGCGCTGGTGCCAGCCGCGTCGCATGGCAGCAGCACTGTACCGGCATCGCTCGACTCCGATCCACGCCTCGCGATCTGATCGTGCGAGCCGGCAGCCCGCAGATCCGTGCTGTAGCCGGCACAGATCCGGCCCGCCACGTGGCACGGCGCGGATAGCCGTGAGGCCGCGCGCGAGCTAGCCTGGTTAAGCATGAGTGCGGAGTGGCTGGGGTTGAATGCCGCCGGCTACAGCGGTGGAGGCGACAACTGCGATGGGAAGCGGTGCGATGAGGGTGACACGTGACACGCAGGATGCGGAAGCGTGTGCTTTGCACGGCAGCTTGTGTTCTAGTCCTCGATCCAGCTCGCGAGGATGGCTGTAGGCTGTCGACTATCTTCTTCAACAGAAAAACAAGTTTGGACACTATCTTCTCTCTCCAGCGTTTTCTAGCGCGTATTTCCATGCCTGGGGGGAATGAAGTAGCATTCTTCTGCTGGATTTGGCCTAGGGCGTATCCTGTCAGACTCAATGGGTGGTAGCAACTCGTTTTGTGCAGCCAGGTTGCGAATGTGGGATGACTTTGAAACAGCACTTGTAATTTGACCCCAGACATGTGGGATGCGACTTCAGCCCCATCATCTTGTTTTCAGACTCATTATTGCCCTCGGTTTTTGTGCTGCTTCTGACGATTATCGGATTGGCTCGTCACCAACAAACTGGGTCTTGAAACAGGTGTCGATTCTTGACCCCTTGAACTTTCACAGAACCAATATTTTCACACACCTTGGTAACACAAATTCCTTCGGGCTCTCCAAGCCCCCTCCCATTTCCGCAAGCCACATAGGAATGGCCACTTCGCCGTGCTCCTTGGGAACGTCAACTGCCATGTCGGCTTTCTAGGTCGTCAACGAAGACACTCTCGCTGCATGTCGGTGCCTTATCCTGACGTTTTCCGTCAGGCGTTAGATCTCCAAATGGCGTTCGGAGCGTTTAATCCACGGGGTGATTGCGACCAGGCTAGAATGGTTGCCTCCGTCCTGCCTCGCTCCCATCCCCTGCATCAGCACTATTGCGTTCCATCATCCGTTTCCTTGGTCCAGCACATACATCCGCCCGTTTCTGTCGATCTGCGGTTTCTCAATTCGCCAGTGTCCACGTTGCAGTCAACATCTTCCCAGTGAAACGACCGGTAGTATTCACAGCGGAACCTTCGCGCATCCGCGCCCATGGATCGCCTGCCTCCAGAGTGCGTGTACGCAATTCTGCGCTGCGCTGATCCACCCGGGCCGCACATCGCGCGGATGGCGTGCGTGTCGACGCGGTACCGCGGCATGGCGGGCGACCTGCTGTGGCGCTGGCACTGCCGCGACGCGCTCGCTGACTCCTTCGCGCGCGAAAACTCAGAAGGCGACGCGGATAGCGAGCCTCCTCTTAGCCCGACCGAGATGAGGAATCGCGCTGCTGGGCGCGAGAGGCTGCAGCGGCAGGTGGCGCGGATGAGCAACGGCGACGCTGCTGCGCTGGGAAGGCTCTTCAACGTGTGCCCCGGCGTGACGCCCTCGCACCTGCGAGACCGGAAATTCTGGACCGGCACCAAGTTCAGCCAGTGGCAGAGTCGCAAGCCGCCTCCGTGGGTGTCGCGCGAGGTGGAGAAGCATGATCGCCGCGTGCGCAGCAGGCCGCACTGCGAAAACTTTGGTCCGACGTTCAAGCTGCTGTCTGCATGGGGGGGCGATCCTCGGATCTTTGTCCTCATGAATATGTGCAAGCGCCACTTGTGGGAATCGAAGCTGGACATACCCTCCTGTCTCCTTCAAGGGCTCATTGTGAACTTTCGAGAGACAGAGTGAGAGACTTACACCTGTTGGTGCTATTTCAAATATAAATGCGTCCCTCTTCTCTGTTTAACATGTTCATCTGTTTTTGGTCCCTTCTTTATCGTGTTCCGCCATTGTGTGGCCACTGCTGCCCTGTCTATCTGCTGTTGTTGGATCACGCTCGCTTCTGATGCTCGTTAGGTGCTAGATTCTCTTCCACAGTCATTTTGTCGTCACGGGTTTGTCATTCAACCATGGGTTTGTCTCCACAGTCATCACGGAAGTGGCTGGCAGAAAAACGAGTGTTTGTTTTTTCTGTTCCAATGATGTTATTGCCTAATACAACAGGTTCTATGATGCATATTCTGAATACCCGTTTATGAAGGATGAAGTCTGTCCTTTCTGTTCCTCCGAGGTATGTGTTGTGCCTGCATTTGCAATTTCTTTCTCTTATTTTTGCCATTGCGAAAAGGCTTTTTTTCTGAGTCAGATGTTATTATCACCTTCGTCCGTGCCAGTGAGATTGACGCTGTGTCCATGGATTAAAGTACTGCTTGGCAGGTGTGGAACGGTTGTGAAATACAGGTTATGTTTGCAAAGACGTTCACTCCCTTCATTGTTTTCAATCCACCTATCAACTGCATTGTTCCGACCATTGTGCACTGTGTTTGCACAAAGGTATGTGTTTCTTTCCCTTCGTTTTTCTCCGTCTCCCTCCCCCCTTCAACCCCTTTTTCCTCTTCTTCAATTTGCATTATTACGTATCTTCTGTATGCTAAACAGCGTTTGCTGGCGTTACACTTGCAGGGGCACTGGAATGGACTTGAAAGGGAAGAAGAGAGCGACGATGACAAAAAGTAAGAACAACCACTGCAACAATGATGATGGTGGCCGCAGTAAAGGAGGGGGAGGAGGGGGAAAAGGATGGGAGGGGGGAAGGGGGGGGGGCAGGGGAAGTAGGGTGGGGGGAGGGGGAGGGGGAGGGTGAGAGGGAGGAAGAGGAAGGGGAGGTGGAGGAAGAGGAGAGGGGAAGGAAAGGGGGAAGAGGAGGGGGGAGCGAATTAGGGAGGGGTTAGTAGGGGGAGGGGGAAGGGAAGTGGGAGGGAAGGTTAGGGGGAGACGGTGGAAAAGGGGGGGAGGGGGAGGGAGTATGGTGGGGAAAGACAATGGGAAGAGGGGAGGGGATGTAAGGAGCGCTTTGCCGTTAGAAAAGGACATGGGAAAGCATTGAGATTGTCACAACTAGGCCAGCTGCACACCGATTACTGCTGACGAGATCGATCACGCATGCAAAGGAGGTGGGCTGGAGGAGGTTATGGTCAAGATGACTGTTAAACTGACTCTTAAGATAAATACACCTAGGCACCAGATGGCGGCAAAAAAATGATAAGAAAGCCAGGACTGAAATACTAGCATACACAAAAGAAGGTATATGGAAGGTTGCAACTCGTAATGTGCGAGTTAAATGTTTATGGCTCAGTATTGTTGTGAAAGAATTGCACCGTATTGCACCGTGACAGCGGGTCTGAGGAATGCGGGACCACTGGGGTTATCACGGTACGACAAATCAAAATGACAGCGCCACTCCACGTCCTTCTATGGTTGAGGAGCCATGCAACGGGGAACGAAGCGCACCGTATGGAGGAGGACGTGGAGATTACACCGCAGTTCCGGTAGCGGCCGAAGCAATGGTTCCCCTCGTCCCACCCGACCGAGCTGCATTAATTCACATTCCGAGTACTGAATGCAACCCCCAATCCGTCGTTTCTTTGCCTCCTTTTCAAGTCCCACGCCTCTTCCACGGTAGACCTCGTTCACCTCCCCGTTCCCCGTCGTTCATTTGCCTCCTTTTCACCTTCAGCCGTCCGGCGGAGATAGCGGCGCGCCATGGAGTCGCTGCCCGCGGACGTGGTCTACACCGTGCTCCGCCTCGCGCAGCCCGCGGGGCTGCAGATCGCGCGGCTCGCGTGCGTGTCGACGGGGTTTGCGCGGATGGCGAAGGAGCATCTCTGGAGGTGGCACTGCCGCGACCAACTCGCCGTCGACGCATCCCCGAGCGACGCGCAACGCTCCGACTCCAAGGCTGTAGCCGATGCCAACGCCGTTCGTGACGCACCCGCTGCGATCACGGCCAGCGGTGAAGATCCAGAATACAGGCGCGAACGGTTGGAGCGCATGCTGCACGACATGGGAAGCGAAGAAGTTCTCACCCTCGCGAAGCTCGTGAACTTGTGTCCAGGCGTGCGACCCGCGCTGCTGCGAGGCAGGGAGTACAAGGCAATGATTTGCGGGTGCGGCAGCAGCCTCCAGTGCGCGTGCTGGCAGCCTTTCGCGAGCGTGGAAGGCCATCCCAGTAGCGCGCCTCACTTCCGCCCTGGCAAGTTTGAGATCATGGATATCGTTCGCGCCGGCGTTCCAGCGGTCCATTTCCTGATCTCATCGTGCTTTGTGCATTTACGCGAGGAGCACGACGCCGTGCCGTTTCTTCTAATTCGAGGACTTGATATGGACTTTCAAAGCTCCAAGTAAGGCTGATGCTGTTGTATTGCTCGCTATGCATGACCACTCCTCCATGCTAGAGTTCTATTGAGAGCAGGATGTGGGCTGCTCCTTTTTATTATTCCTTGTGCCATATTGGTCAGCCATCATGTATACATGTGTCGTGTTGACATGCTTTCGTTTTTCCTCGCGTTCCCACTTCACAAACTGATTCAACTCATGCCATGCCCTATCTTCTGGTAGTGATGCAGAAAAGATGACCGCTACGAGTGGACGTGGGCGGAGGCAGTTTATCAAGTCGTATCACTGGGAAAAAGAATTCCAGCCCTTGGCGTTTATGTGTGTCCTGTTCGTGTCCTCATCAATTATCATGACCCCATGAATGTCCCTCTGCTCTTTTTTTGTTTCATGTCCATGACATCAGGATGTACGAGTCTCAGACCCCCTTCGTTTGTGACGAGCACTGCCCATATTGCTCCTCCCAGGTGAGCTATCTCCTTGTCTTATGACGCTTAGGTTCACAATAAAATCAAATCATTTCAAGATGCATTAAGGCATTGTATAATTCCTACAATGATGCTTTTCCTAGAATCCGGCCCCTTTTGGTTTCCCATCAAAGACCCCGGCCCTGGTGAGCACGTTCCTTGGCAGGTGTGGGACATGATTAAGTTGTTGAAGCTTCCTCGGGTGTCCAAGATCCTCATTTGCTACGCGGGGAACAAGATTTATGCCACGTTCCCGGAAGTGGTCATTTACCTCTGCACCAAGGTGCATGATACATTTTGTCCTCATTCCTCATTGCTCCCCTTCCCCTCTCCCTTTCACCTCATTCCCTCCGTATCCCTACCCCTCCTCCGTCACACCCTACCTCCTATCTCTGCATTTGCATTGTCTTGTTGATGCCCTACAAGGAGGTACGGTGTTGACCTTCTCTCTTTCTGCACCTGCAGGGGCATCTGTACGGGCTGCGGCGTCTGGGCGAAGCCATGAGGGCAAGCAGCTCAATGGCGGAAGTGGAGGTGGAGAGGGTTGAAGGGCACGACGGCAGTCAGAGCAGCCAGGGCAGCGAGGACAACGAGGAGGGCGAGAGGGAGGCGTCGGATGAGGCGTACTATGCGATGTTGGGGAGGGTGCTGCAGCGGGTGGTGCGGGGGGGGTTGGAGGAGGGGGAATATGATGTGAGCATCGAGGAGGGGGAAACTGATGATGATGTGAGCACCGAGGAGGGGGAAACTGATGATGATGTGAGCACCCGCCTTGCCCCTAACTTGCTTCGTAGGTTGTCATGCCCGAACATTGATTGCTTCGGTAAGCACCCTGCTGGCTTCCCCTTGTCAGTTGGTTTGGGGTGTTGTGCCGTGAGTTGTGTGGCTCGTTGCTGTGTGAGTGGTAGAGGACAGTAGCTTGGAGCATGACAGGTGACAGGTGACAGGTGAAGGGAAGATTGTGCCAAGCAGTCGTATAGCTGCTGCCGGTGTTGCTGAGTGATGTTTAATCTTCTCTTATACCGAAAGCAATAACCCGATTTTGCTAGTCAAACCATTTCCCCCCTTACCCCATCCCATCGTCTCGCTAATCCACTGGAGGCAGGTCGAACCGGGCACTCCCACCAGTGGAGCACAGGCAGTTGCTCTCACCGTCCCAGCTGGGCCAGCTGCGACACCTGAGCTTGCACGTGCACATATGGTGGAGGCTGCTGCCAGTGCTGCTGCTGCACCAGCACATGCACCAAATGCTGCTCCTGTGGACGTCACTGTGCCTTCTGCTACGAGTGGTGCTGCCTCTGCTGCGGCATCAGACTCTGCCAGTCTGCTTCCCACGGCAGCAGCCATTCCTCATAGACAACTGTTAGAGGCACCACAACTCTGACCTGTAGCCGGAGGAGTGGCCTGTGCCGAGGACCAGGTGAAGCCGAAGCGCTGAAGGATCTGCTGCACCATGTGTGACTGAGTTAGTGTGATGGTGCGGCGTGCTCTGTCCCGGGTGATCTGCAAGCCAAGGTAACTGCGCAGCTCACCCAGGTCTGTGCACGTGTGTCTCTTCTGCAACTCCGACTTCACCAGGGCGAGATCCTCAGTCTCAGCAGTGGCAAAGACCAAGTCGTCGACGTACACGAGGATGTAGAACGGCGGCAACGAAGTGTCGGTGCGCAGAAACAGCGACAGGTCATCAGTCGACGGAGCAAACCCAAGAGCAGCAAGTGTCGTCCTCAGTGTGTCGTGCCACTCGCGTGGCGCCTGGCGGAGACCGTAGACCGGCCGCCGGAGGCTCCACTGGGTACCAGGAGGGAACGACCCAGTGAAGCCAGGAGGGCGGCGCAGCCAGATCTCTTCGTGCAGGCTGCCTTGTAAAAAAGCTGTGCTGCAATCAAGAGAGTGAAGCTCGTAGTCACGCTGAGTGGCAACGTGCAGCAGCACCCGAAGAGTGGTCATCTTCGGGGTGGGGGAGAAGGTATGGAAGAAGTCAACTCCCTCTCGCTGACTGAAACCTCCAGCAACGTAACGAGCCTTGAAGACAGGCGGAGAACCTGGCGGCCGCTTCACCCTGAAGATCCACATGCCACTGACGATGTTCGCCCCAGGAGGGGGAACCTCGTCGACGTAAGTGCCTGTGGACTTCCAGGATGCCATCTCTGCGTCCATGGCTGTCTGCCACTAAGAGGAGTACTCACCCGCGATTGCCTCAGCGTAAGAGCGCGGGGTCGGGATGTCTGGAGCATCCGGGTCTCCCTCAGGGGCAAGCAGCATGGACACGAGATGAGGCGCAGCGGCTGCAAGACACTCAAGGTCCTCCTGCCTGTCCTCAAGGACGTCCGTGCCAAGAGCACACTCACCCCCGACGGACGGAGGAAAGACAGACTCAGACTCAGCAAAAAGACTAGCGGCGTTGTCTAGACGACAGACAGCAGCAAAGTCAACAAGCTCAGCGACTAAGGCAGACGCAGCAGCAGACTCAAACGACGGGTCAGTGACAACTGTGGCTAGCAGACGCGTGACAGTAGGGTGAGCAGCACGGGCGCGGTCAGACTCAGGCTCTGGAACGGTAGGCAGAGAAGACGCAGGAGGGGACGGCAGGGGAACACGCTGCGGAGCAGAGGAAGGACGCAGGGCCATGAGGTGTGTGCCGGGGACAGCCGGCGGACGCTCACGAGGAACACGATGACCAGTACGACCAGTGCGGACAGTGCGAACAGGCGAGACAGGACGAGACGCAGGCTCACGACGCTCAGCAAGACCGCCTGTCAGCACAGTGTAAGGAGAAGGAGCAGGCAGTGGTGAGCCAGGCTGTAACGGAAGACCAGTAGAAGACGGGAGGCTAAAAACCTGGCGAAGCACGGAGCCAGGAGGTGGCAGAGACGAAGGGGACGGCGGAGCGAAGAACAGTCGTGGCGGTGCAGTGCCACCAGTACCAGTAGCTCCAGCACCTCCTGCAGCTCCAGAACCTCCAGCGCCAGCACCCGCAGTAGCTCCAGAACCTTTAGCTTCGGCGCCACCAGCTCCTGCACCTCCAACAGCCCCAGAACCTCCAGCGCCAGCACCCGCAGCAGCTCCAGAACCTCCAGCTTCAGCGCCACCAGCGCCTGCACCTCCAACAGCTCCAGAACCTCCAGCGCCAGCACCCACAGCAGCTCCAGAACCTCCAGCTCCAGCGCCACCAGCGCCAGCACCTCCAACAGCTCCATAACCTCCAGCGCCAGCACCCGCAGCAGCTCCAGAACCTCCAGCTCCAGCGCCACCAGCTCCAGCACCTCCAGCAGCTCCAGAACCTCCAGCTCCAGTGCCACCAGCAGTAGCACCCCCAGAACCGGCACCTCCAGCTCCAGGGCCTCCAACCTCAGAGTCGACAGCAGCACCTCCAGGTACAGCAGGACCTCCAGTCCAAACAGCTCCAGTACCTCCAGTACGAGCACTTCCGGGACCAGCTGCTCCAGGAACTCCAGTAGAAACAACTCCAGTAGCAGAGTCACCAGCTCCAGCGCCTCACGCAGCAGGACCCTGACGGCGAACGTACCACTCACGCAGCTGCTGTGGGGAGAGAGGGACAGTGCCGGCTCTAGTGCCTCCAACACCAGCGCCTCCCGCAGCATGGCCCCCAGCTCCAGCAGCTCGACCCTGACGGCTAACGTACCACTCACGCAGCTGCTGTGGGGAGAGAGGGAGACGACGACGAGAGTGCAGCGGCGAGGCACCAGCGGAGCGACTACGGAGACGGCCGCTCCAGGGAGACTGCTCACCAGACGCCTCAGCGCCCCCAGGTGCAGCACCCGCAGACTCAGTACCCCCAGGCTGAGCACCCCCAGACTCCTCACGCCCAGGCTCAGCACCTCCAGGCTCCGCACCCCCAGGCTCAGCACCCCCAGGCTCAGCACCCCCAGGCTCTGCACCCCCAGGCTCAGCACCCCCAGGCTCCGCACCCCCAGGCTCAGCACCCCCAGAAGCAGCACCCCGAGCAGGACCACCCTCAGCAGGTCCTGAGTCACCAGTGACCTCAACCGGTGCAGTCAAGGGAGGAGGGTCTACCTGAGACACACCTGAAGGAGCAGGACCGGGAGCGGGGAGGGGGTCTACCTGGGGAGCACCTGGAGCGAGGAAGAGCGGCGGGGGGGGGGGGAGAGGGGCAGTGCGGTAGGGGAAGAGACGGTAAAAGGGAACCGACTCGTCGAACGTGACGTCCTGAGAGGGGAAGACACGGCGCGAGGTGGGGTGGTAAAACTGCCAACCAGGCGCGTCAGGGACAAAGCCAAGGAAGACACAGGGAACAGCGCAGACGGAGAGCTTGTCCGCGGTGGTATCGCGGACAAAGGCACGAAAACCCCAGACCCAGAACACCGACGCATCGCCAACCTCCCCCGTCCACCGCAGTGTGGGCGAGGTCTCCGGCAAGGAGACACAGGGCCAGAGGTTGAGCTGATGCGCGGCGTACCGGACCGCAAACGGCCACAGAAAATGGGGGGCAGCCGCATGGACCATGGAGGTACGAGCGACCTCCATGACCAAGCCAATGCGGCGCTCAGTAACCCCATTCTGCTCCGGAGAGGACGGAAGCGTGAACGTCTGGCGAATGCCCTCCCCACGACAAAAGCTCTGCAGAAGGTCGGAGGAAAACTCCCCACCTCTGTCAGAGTGCAGACGCAGGACGCAGACTCCGTCCCGAACCGCTCGCGGAGCTGGAGACGGGCAGCGCGGATCCAAGGGATCAAAACATCAGGGACCTCACCCTTGGTGCGCAAGGGGAAGACCGTGGTGTAACGCGAGTAGTCGTCAACAACCAGCAGGAAGTACCGCTCGCGGTCCTACCCACTGACGCGGGCTGGGCCCCACACGTTCATGTGCAGGGTCTGCAGGGGAGCAGTCGTCGGGGGAAACGAGGCGGAGTGAGGAGCGGCGCGCTGCCGCCCCTCGACACAGGGAAGACAGGGAGGAGCAGGCGAGGGTGGGAGGGGAGGGAGAACCCTGGGAAGACCAGAGACAAGGACATGGCGGTGCATGCTACGAAGGCGCTGCACCGAGGGGTGACCAAGACGGTGGTGCCAAAGGAGGGTCTGGTGCGACAAAGCGCGACACGAGCAGGGGGCCGCTAGATGACTTGACGCAGACGCAGACGCAGACGCAGCGACCTGAGGGGACACATTAGTCAGTGTGTACAGACTCGAGCCAGGCGCACGGGTAAACGTGGCCAGGTGCCGGCCCGTCCGGGAGCACGTACAGTGGGTCACGCGCTGACCTCCAGGAGTGAACTGGTCAACCCACTGTTCCTGGAGGTCAGCACCACTCACCAAGTTCGTAGAGAACGAGGGGAGGTGAAGACCTGACAGGGAGCCAGACGGGACCGCCGGACACGGCAGGACCGTGGAGGAGTGCGCAAGGACTGGACCCCCAGAGGGGTCTGCCAGGGAGACTGCAACCGGCCGACTGAGCGGCGTGAGGGTGGTGCTGTCGCGAAAGAAGGAGCGGGAAGCACCTGAGTCAAGTGTGAAGGTGTACAAGACCTCAGCAGGCGCAGTACCAGAGAGAGCAGACTCACCAGCACATGGAGCAGCAGCCTCACCAGCACCCAGAGCAGGAGACGCACTAGCACCTAGAGCAGCAGCCTCACCAGCACCTAGGGCAGGATACGCACTAGCACCTAGAGCAGCAGCCTCACCAGCACCTAGAGCAGCAGGCTCTATACCTGGGTCAGGCGGTATGCACAGGTAACAGTCACTGGCAGCACTAGTAGGCAATGCATACATGGCATTGAGAATAGCATCATAGTCAAGAGCAAAGATATCTACCCTCTGCCTAAGCAGCTCTAGCCAGGTGGGGAGCTCAGTGTCGTCGCCAAACTCGGTACGCCAGGCGTCGCTCAGACGGGCGAAGCAGCGGGACTGTGTGTGACCAAGCGTCCCGCAAGCCTGACCAGCCCGATCACCTGTGCGAATGACGTACGGGCAGCGAACGGTACTCCGAGACCCTTTACTCTGAGCGTACCACTCACGAAGCTGCTGGGGCGTAAGTGTCTCGCGCGGATGCCGCTGCAGCTGCAGGTGGCCACTGCCAGACGCTCCCGAATGACCAGCTCCAGGGCGACAGCCACGACTACTACCGCCACAACCCCAACTAGCGTACCACTCACGAAGCTGCTGGGGCGTGAGAGACTCACGCGGACGTCGCTGGAGCTGCATCTAGCCACCGCTCATAGCAACAGTAGCAGCAGTAGCAGTAGCAGGCGTGGCAGGCGCGGCAGGCGCGGCAGGCGCGGCAGGCAGGCAGGCAGGCAGGCAGGCAGGCAGGCAGGCAGGCAGGCAGGCAGGCAGACAGGCAGGTGGCGCGGCAGTGCGCTAACAAGGCAGGTGCTCACCAGTGGCAGGAAGGGCAGACGCTCGACGG